TGGGTGGACGTCAACTCCCAGAATGCCCCAGCCAGGCATTCTGGGAGTTGAAGTCCACCCACCTTAAAGTTGCCAAGTTTGAAAAACACTGGTTTAGCTGATCCTTGCAACAGTCATTGACTGACACCCTCCTTGCATCTGGCACCTTTTCTTAAAAGCCTTACAAATGCACGAGCTGCTGAACCAGCTGTAGGCAAAAGGCAGTGGCAACCGTTTGCATTCTCTGGGCCGGAATCCTGGCCTCGCCCGCTGACCTCCCCTCTTCCAGCCACTCCCCAGGTTCAGACCTGCGGGCAGGAGGGACCGAAGTAGCGGGCTGGGACCAGGCAATGCCTCCTCTTCCTCTGCAGGCCCTGGCAGGATGAGACCACGCCATTGTACAAGCCCGGGGGCCGGCTGGGCAGCTCTCGCCGCCTCTGCCCTGCTGCGTGTCCGCGAGGGAGAGAGCAGGCGTGGATGCAAACTCTGGGAAGATCAGAGTCCGGAAGGAGGCAGCTGAGCGATCCTGGCTTTTGGGTGGGAAGGGCTTCTGCTGGTGGCTGGAAGATAGGTGGTGCTGGGCGTGTTTTGATGGTGCTCCTCTGGGTTCCTCTCTGCCTTGATGCGGTTTGCACACGCAGGCACCCGTTGGGGCGAGCGAAACGTCGGGCTCTTGGGCCTGATGCTTTGGGGCATCACAGCAGACATCTGCCAGACCCGTGGAAATTATAGGATCCTTGCTGCCCCCCAAGCAACAAGCGGTTGACTCCGACCCTTGTGACCTGCCAGAAATCCCTTAAAACGTGGCTTTTCCAGCAAGCTTGGGGATCTCCTGCCAGCTATAAGCCCATACGCTGGCTGCATCATGTTTGATATCCCAACGTGTTCCCTTTTGTCGCCTTATGCTTTTATTTATATTTGTTTTAATTGGTTTTGTATACTGTTTTAACTCTTGGTTTTATTGTATGCCAGCTAGAGTCACCTGGTGGGAGATGGGCAGCCATCTAAATCTGAGAAAGAAAGAGAGAGAGAGAGAGAGAAGAAAGGAAGAAAGAAAGAAAGAAAGAAAGAAAGAAAGAAAGAAAGAAA